GTTTATAGGAAATGACTGAAGATTTCAGCCAGATTTTGTTTATTCAAAGGGTCTGTCTGCAGAGTATTTCTCCCCATGTGCAGTGTCATTATAGTGAACTTCTTCATTTGATACCTGAAGCAAGGTTCTGTACTGACAGTATGATAGTAAATTGTGTGATTGTCTGACATTTTGATTCCGAATTTGCTTTCCATCCCAGTCGCTCTGAAGATAAAATACCTGATGTGAATATCTTCATGAAGAACATCTTTGAACCATACGCAATGTGTGAGAAATCTTAAAGGGATATTTCACCTCAAAATGAAAAATCATTTACTCTTCCTCATGCCATTCCAAACCTGTATGACTTCCTTTCTTATGTTAATCACACAGATTGTTTTGTCATTGGGGACCCAATTGGCTTTGATTGTATGAACAAAAAAAGCACTGAAACATTTTTCTAAATATCTTCTTTTTTTGTTTCACAGAAGAAAGTAAGTAATTCAGGTTTGGAACGACATGAGGGAGAGTAAATTGTCAGAATTTTAATTTTTTAGTAAACTCTCCCTTTACAAAATACAGAAAGCCTTATATTGACTTGAATATCAGAATAATTAATTTATTATTCATTACAGCACTCACTTAAGATAAATATTTTACTTATCACCAGTGCATCACCAAGAACTGACCCCAGCATCTGCTTAACAGCCGCAAACTGCCCATCACATGCTTCAGTTAGATCTCAATAACACACTTGCACATTACGCGTGTCTACATGAATGCTTGTCTTTTACAGGATGTGCCTCACTCCAGAGTGATTTACTCACATTTCAGTTCCCATGTAAGAAACAACATCTGCATGACTATGACACAACTGCAGAAGCTCTTCATCGGGTAAATTATTTATTTTTTCAGCTAGTTTGATTCCACTCTACATTTAATCTGGAAGAAATTCTATTTGTGGTCACTTTAAAACAGGTTGTTTATACAAAAATTAGCTCATACCTTCCAAACGTCCCACAAAGTCTCTTGAGGATTAAAGCGGCATAATCCAGACCTCCAGTCGCTATCGTAATAAACTCTTCGGTCTCACACACACGCTCTCTTTCCGGTCTTCTCCTCAATCACTCTCTATATGTGCTCACCCTCTCACTCTCTCTTTGGCTCTCTTTAACTTGCCCCCTCTCTCTCTAACACGCTGTCTCTCTCGTTGGATAGGGTCTGTGATCTCTTACTCACACACATAGTGTATCGAAAGAGGCAAATGTAAACATATATGCCCCGTTTGCACCTGTTATTAACATTTAGTGATCTGATTACCGTATTAGGAAACGAGTTCCAAAATGTTGTATGATCTGATCACTGAAACCACATTCAGAGGAAGTCAGAACCATAGGTTACTTCAGGTGGCTGAACTGAAAAAAAAAACCTTCTTGCTCAAAACATCACAGTTGCGGTGATATTTGAACATGTATAAGTATGTTTGAAAGCAAAGTGTGCTTTAAAAAATGCTTTGTCTACTTGCAGTAATAAAATCAAGACCAGGTTTAAATGGGGCCATAGTGTGCCATGATAAGCAATGTTTCCTACAACTCAGGGCTTTCACCTCAAATAACATCTGTGCTGTGTGTCATTTTGAGTGATGTAGATTAGCAGAGTAACGTGTGTGTGTGTGTGCCTACTTAACCGTATTTTTTTGACGTATTTGTACCCAGAATTGAGTTTAATCTTGAGTTTAAGTTTTTTAGTGTTTTATGGGCCTTACAGAGAGCATACATGTAGATTTGTTTGAAATTTCACCTATAGTACTTAGTTTATGTACTTAATTTATACATTACCTATCTTTCAAAAGTTTGGACTTAATAAGAAATTAATATTTTTTTATTCAGCAAGGACATATTAAATTGATCAAAAGTGACAAAGACATTTCAAATAAATGCTGTTATTTTGAAGTTTCTATTTGTCAAAGAATCCTGGGGGGGTTGGGTAGTATCACGGTTTAGACATTTTTTGTTTTCTTTCAAATCTAATTAAGTATATTCAACTTCCCATAGGGGTGTGGCCGATTCAATTCAAATTATTTTATTTGCCGGATAGGGACAGGAGATGGAAAATATAATTATCTTAGTGTAAAAAAAAACCTCATTGAAAATATCCACCATGATAGGAAAACAAATGTGTGATTGTTTTGCTTAGGGAGTAGTGTGGGGCTTTGAGCTCTACTGTAATAACAGGTTATTTTGGCAGTTATCCTCATCCATTAATTTATTAATTACCATTTTTAAATGCTTTATTGTGCAGAAAAGATTTCATTGTCAAAAATGTTTCACCATACCCACAGTGGGAGATTCAATATAAAGTTGTGACAGATGGGTAGGGATATTTTCTCAATAAGGGTATTTGAAAGACAATCTGTTGCATTGCTGATGAAAAAACACATATCATAAGAAATTAATATTTTTTTATTCAGCAAGGACATATTAAATTGATCAAAAGTGACAAAGACATTTCAAATAAATGCTGTTATTTTGAAGTTTCTATTTGTCAAAGAATCCTGGGGGGGTTGGGTAGTATCACGGTTTAGACATTTTTTGTTTTCTTTCAAATCTAATTAAGTATATTCAACTTCCCATAGGGGTGTGGCCGATTCAATTCAAATTATTTTATTTGCCGGATAGGGACAGGAGATGGAAAATATAATTATCTTAGTGTAAAAAAAAACACCTCATTGAAAATATCCACCATGATAGGAAAACAAATGTGTGATTGTTTTGCTTAGGGAGTAGTGTGGGGCTTTGAGCTCTACTGTAATAACAGGTTATTTTGGCAGTTATCCTCATCCATTAATTTATTAATTACCATTTTTAAATGCTTTATTGTGCAGAAAAGATTTCATTGTCAAAAATGTTTCACCATACCCACAGTGGGAGATTCAATATAAAGTTGTGACAGATGGGTAGGGATATTTTCTCAATAAGGGTATTTGAAAGACAATCTGTTGCATTGCTGATGAAAAAACACATATCATTTATCAGACAGGAGAGGGGAAAACACAGTAATTTTAAGATTTCCCTTGTGCTCCTTTCATCAGATGGCATCTGACAGTGATGGTTCATTTCTCTGGTGAGAGGAGATCCATATGGAGCTTGCTGTGATTCAGTTCCTCTGAGAGAAGAAAGGGCTTGGAGTCCAAGCGTGAAGGAGTGAAGGAGACCACCTTCAGACCCCATCAACTCTGCCGTACTCGCGGAGCGACCTGCATCTAGTGTGATAATTTGACCGCTGAGGTGCCATCATTGGAATGCATGAGAGAAGTCTATTTTCTCTGCCAGTCTATTTCCCTTCACTCTCTTTACACGGAGAGCTCTTTAATTTGTTTCTGCCTTGTCAGCTCACACACAGTCAGCCTACATCCATTCAGGCTCATTAGATACACGACCACAGCACTTGACCGTGTCTGCTTGACTGTCTTTTTGAGTAAGGTGAGGGACCTGCTAAGTCTCACAAACTCGATTTGTTGGAACTCAATGAGTCTTGGAGCATTCTCTCCATTCGTACACAGTAAATTGTTTTTTGTAGAGGAAGAGATTCCACCTGACCTCATTTCTGGCCATACACTTGGCTTATGGGATTAGATCAGGGGGCTGAATTCTCCTGAGCTCCATCCACTATTATTTTACATGATGCTCACCTGAGAGGAAACTCTGTGATACTTGAAAGAAAATGTATTAAATCAATTGTGTTTATGGAGGAAATGTAAGGGCAACCGCAGGGGAAGTGCAGGCATTGGTTGTCAGAACAAGCTATTTTTATAGATTCAGTCTGCATGTGAGGATATTAATGCGTTGACATGTGCCATTCACTGTGACGAGCATATGGTATACAGCTTCACTTTCCTTTTTGAGTTGAAACTAAAATAACACTTTTAAAAATGTAGAAAAGGCACCAAAAGCAACTTCAAATGGTTCCCTAATGGATTGCACGGTATTCTAGTATAGTAGGTGTTAGACTGACAAGACCTGGTGATTCAGACTGCTGAGGTGTGACTTGATTTACAAAATCTTTAGGCAATTTAGGCAAAATCTTCATTACAATCTTTCTTTGAAACATATGAAGCGCCTGCAGAAGTTGGGCAAAACAATAAAGCAGAGGATTACTGAGAGTTAACCTGTGTTTGTGGGTAGGGCAGTGAAGCTGTTATGTTTTGTGACATAAAACTAAATAAAAATAACATTTTAAACCAAAAGGTAAAAAACATCATTACTGTTACTGGGCAGACACGACGTGAGATGTATGGATCCATTTGCAAACTTTATTCAAAGGCGCTGCATGTGAGGATATTAATGCGTTGACATGTGCCATTCACTGTGACGAGCATATGGTATACAGCTTCACTTTCCTTTTTGAGTTGAAACTAAAATAACACTTTTAAAAATGTAGAAAAGGCACCAAAAGCAACTTCAAATGGTTCCCTAATGGATTGCACGGTATTCTAGTATAGTAGGTGTTAGACTGACAAGACCTGGTGATTCAGACTGCTGAGGTGTGACTTGATTTACAAAATCTTTAGGCAATTTAGGCAAAATCTTCATTACAATCTTTCTTTGAAACATATGAAGCGCCTGCAGAAGTTGGGCAAAACAATAAAGCAGAGGATTACTGAGAGTTAACCTGTGTTTGTGGGTAGGGCAGTGAAGCTGTTATGTTTTGTGACATAAAACTAAATAAAAATAACATTTTAAACCAAAAGGTAAAAAACATCATTACTGTTACTGGGCAGACACGACGTGAGATGTATGGATCCATTTGCAAACTTTATTCAAAGGCGTGGTCAGAAACAGGCATGGGTCAGACAATGGCAAACTGGTATGGAAAAGACAAGGCAAGGGCAATCCGGTAAACAAGCGAGGGTCATGGCAAACGGAATCCAACAGGGTGAGACTAGAGGGATAAATCCAGGTACACAGGCAAAGATCAAAACATAGGAAAACAGACAAAGCAAGACTCCGCTAAGGCTATGAAAACTAAGCAGGCTCCGTAAGGTCATCAACTAAACAATGATATTCGCTAAACAATACTTGGCAGCTTGACGGGGGATAAGAGTGAGTGTTATATAGGGAAGGTGTGATTGATGACAGCTGTGTGCAATCAGTGCTGTGTGCAATCAACTGTGTATGTGTAATCAGTGCAATGGATGATGGGAACTGTAGTCCGGGTGAAGTGCAACAGTGGTGTGGTGCAAGAGTCCATAGTAGTGGAAGGGTGACCTCTGGAGGCGAGCAGACGGAGGTTCATGGACCGGATTCGTAACAATTACACACACTGTAATTCATTTTTTTTAAATAATGCATTAATTAAAATAGTCAAATTATTAATGAGTTAATATTCAGATATAATTATTGTATGTTAAAATATTCCCAACATTTTCTTTTTATATGTTTTACTTTCCACTGAGGATTGTGACAGGCACCCAGGTGGATGCAGTTGAGTGAATACAAACAAACTTCAGTAAACATGATGCCTCCATGAAAACTGCTGCAGGGCTGAAATGTTGGGTAACCATGCATTCAGTAATATTTTGTATAATATGAAAGAAATTCTCACTCGTGAGAGTCATTTCATTGTGTCTGCACTCTGCACTGGTTGTTATGTGTATGTGATGTTTACGTTTCTCTAAGATGGACCAGTTTAAAAGAGTAACATGTTTGTGAATTGTATACACTCTCAGAAGAAGGTACAAAAACTGTCACTGGGGGCAGTACCTTTTTAAAATGTACACATTTGTACCTTATTTACCACTAAACGGTGCACATTAGTACCAAAAGTGTACCTACATTTTATTTTTTGAAAGTGTATCACCCAGGGCCGGATTTACCTCTTTTCGTGACATTGGAAAAAAAAATTTTGGGGCCCCCTTCCCCATTGATATAATATGCCTAATATTACCACCCAAGCAAACAAAAATATATTTTTTTAACAGACAAAAACACAATAATACAAAGAATTAAACCATATTAAGGAACAATAATCGAAACAAAACAATAATAATAATTCTAAAAATAAAAAAGCAAAATAAATAAATAACCAAACAATAGAAAACACAATGAAAATAAAATATATAAAATTCTCAGCCTATCAACAAAAATATTCCTTAATCAGTGGAAACCATTACGGTGTTTTCTATTGCAATAAGTGCTTGCTTTCAGTCAATAAAAATCTAATGTAGTTCTTAATTTGTTTGAGAACTGAGAAAGACCGTTCCATTAATAGGAAATCTCATGTGTGTTGAACTAGCTAATTTTTTAAACACCTCATCCCAAACCTTTCGTTGCAAATTCAAAACGTCATTTTAGAGCTAATAACAGAGGCTTGAGCCATTGGTATGCAGGCTAACGCAGTTATTAATGCAGTCTAACGCAGTTATTAGAGAGAGAGAGCGAAAGAGAGAGAGAGGGAGAGAGAGATTAAGTGCATGTGAATACTTGTGTCTGTGTGTCTCTCAGCAGTATTCAGCAGCAGCGTCTACTAATAGTGAATCTTTAAGTTGAACTGCTTCAAGAACCTCACTACTGAGAAATGCTTAACTATTTTATTGATAAATTCGCGGGGCAGCCGCAGCTCTGACAACAAGTTTCTGTCCACGTCTCTGCGTGTGTGCGCGAGTGCGTGTCTGTACTTTGTGTGCATCTGTGAGAGAGAACGGGAGAAAGAAAGCGTGATTTCTGGTATCACCCTATTGACAGCTTTTATACCTTTCTTGGATGAGTGTAGTGGTTGCGCTATATGTTTTAGATTTCCTAAAAAGAGCTAGCTTAAAAGAATGATTACTTCACAAATTGGACTAGGTTGTTCTATATGTTTTTGAGTCACTACAAAGAACCAGTTTAAAATAATAATTTGTTTGTCAGTCATACTTCATGGTTGCGCTGTATGTTTTTGATTTACTATAAAAACATTTTAATAGATTCATTATATCACAAATTGGACTACACTGGTTGTGCTATATTTATTTGGCCCTGTACACACTGTAACGTTTCAGGGGTGACAACCACAATTAAATACAAGAGTGAATCCTCTAAATTATAATTTCGTCTGTGTATGGAACAGAACTCACTCTTGAATTGTGCTGATTGACACCATGGTAACAATAGCAACCCTCTGGTGTCTCATGCTTTTGGTATCTGCTATCTTTGACCAAAGTAAAATTACAGCAACCATAGACTTATGTTCAGCGATTTTAACTAAGCCACCTTCGACAGAGTCGTCATGTTTTGTTTAGGTTTGAAAGGTTGCTTTGCAGAGCATGCTCTTAATGTGTTGCCATGTCCACTCATTATAAGTGATGCTTATTTAGCATCTTTGGGCTTGTTGTTTGGGCTTGGCTCATAAAGTGATCCAGTTTATGGAGTTAAGAAGGCAGGTACTGGGCACAATATGTTGGTATGTGGCTTATTTCCAAGATAAAACATTTGTTTTTAAGTTTATTATGGGCTTGTTCATATTTGCTTTATTATTATTATTATTTTATTTTCTGGCAACACTAATGAGTCAAGACGTACCTTGTTCCCTGTGATTTCTTGCACCCACACTTACAGAGAAAAGTGACACAACTGGGGTATGCATTTAAATACACCTTTAACAGCTAGTTGTTCAGTTTGGTTCCATACACAATGCGGATAATTTTGTAAATGTAGTGTCAATACCAGACATTTTTGGGAGTTAATTCGGTTGGGGAATCCAATAGTCTCTCCTGTAAATGACTGAACTGCATACAGTATGTACAGAACAGGATTAAGCACTAATAGGTGAATTGACAACCAAATTTAACTGTAGTTTGTACGTGACCTTTGATTCACAAACTAACAAACCAGAAAATAAATCAATAAATCGATAAAGAGTAATTTGATCTTGAATCAAACATTGGTTGCGCTGTATGTTTTTGATTCACTAAAAGGAAAATGGTAATTAGTTCATGAATCGGATTACACTGGTTGTGCTGTTTGTTTTTGATTCACTACCAAGAAACAGTTTTAAATAGTAAGTTGTTTGTAAATTGGACTTCACTGGTTGTGAACTAGATTTCACTCTGTTATTGCATGCAGCCTGCGAGGACAACCTTTATTCCCTTCCGTTTTTCATAATTTTTACTCAGCACTATATTTTAAGTATAATTTACAGGCTTAAACAACTGCAGAGACAGCTAAATATGTATTAATTTTTGGTAGCAATGGGGCGGGTATATGAGGCTGCATGTGCCTCAGGGGTGAGGTGGCAGGTTGGTGATGGTACAATGCTTCTTACTCACAGAACACATCAATCAGTGCTGACCAGAGAAACAGTGCAGACAAACTGCCTCTTTCAGTTGATGCATTTAGCTGATGCATCATGCATCACAATCAGCCACACCAGAGATGAGACGGCATATAACAACTTACAATATCATCTGCATGTTGTGCCATTGTATTTGCACAACACATTCTCTTCAACAGTTACAGAACATTGAAAGCAAACAGTGGACCAGTACATGCCAAGGGGGCAAATTGTGAGGCTAAGCTTAGATAATTGCCTCTAGCTGGCTATAGAATAAGGACATGTCAGATACCGCAGGGGACATCGCAGTGACTACACAATTAAATCAGCCATATTGTCACCCTTTCGTTACAGTGCTTCACATGTTAGATCACATTACATTGTTTACTGGGCTTACATTGTGTACCTTACACTGTATACAGGAATGGGATTTGGTTTTGTGGACATAGTCCTGGCTGCTGACTGTGATAAACGGCCAATAGGCGGGCAAATACAGGACAGAGCACAGAGTACAGGACATAGTGCTATCATTACAGCATCAATCCACAGCAAAATTAACCTTATTGCAGTGGAAAATAAAACTCTGAAACCCGTTTGTCGTAGGCATCTGTTCACGATGGTTGTTCCAATGGTGTCATCAAAGAGCATGTCTCAGAAAAGCAGCGAGTTATTAAGCAGTTCATTGAGTGGGGTAATATCACATCTGGCTAGCTATAGTTGAGGCCCAATTATAAGCTGTAGATTTGGACTGGCCTGATTCTCTGCTGTTCGAAATTGCACTAGTAATGAAACAGGGAAGATCAAACAGAATGTCAGCTGAAGAGATTAGAGGACTCAAGAAGTCCAAAAAAATATGCATGGTAACACTTTAGTATAGGAATCAATTCTCACTATTACCTAGTTGCTTATTAGCATGCCTATTACTAAACTATTGACTATTTATTACACATAAAGCACATATTCTGCATGATCATATTCTACATCCCAAATCCTATCCAATACCTAAACTTTATATCTACCTTACTAACCATTAATAAGCAGCAAATTAGGAGTTTACTGAGGCAATTTAAACCTGGAAATAAATATAAATTCTGCATTATTTCTGAGTTAAATATGTTGTTACTGAATTAGTGACCATGTGAACTCATCTCTACATGAAATCAGAAGTTCTTGCTTCTGACAATATGATTATCTAAAAGCATGCTAGATAACATGATCATCAGTTCTGAAATCCACGTTTCATTTAAACTTTTCACTCTGTTATACTGATAATATAAAATTGAATGGAAAAAAGTATTACATTTTAAAAATGTGAAACATTCTTCACTGCTTCACTGGACTTCACTGGATGTAAACTAAATGTCACTCTGTTATTGCATGCAGCCTGCAAGGCCAACATTTATTTCCTTGTTATACTGATAATATAACATTTTCCGGAAAAAAGTATTACATTTGAAAAATGTGAAACATTTGGTATAAACAATTGTTGGCATGCTCTGGCCAATGTATGTGCTTCTGTCCTAAAGCAATGTTTCTGTATCCGCATAAACATGTATTGGACTGTTGATACTATTGGATTCAGGGTACTGCAGCACAGCAAAATCTCTCACAAAGTCTATCTAATAAGACCTTAGAGACGCACCCCAGAGCAACATTCTGATTCAAGGATCTCCATGGCAGGATGGTAAGGAACCTCTTCTTTGAAATCTTAAGTATTTCAAGCAGAGGTCTTAATTAAACGTCTTAATTAAACTAAACTTACTTAAAGGAGTGATGCTTTTAATAAAAATTTTGGTAGCGTTACAGTAGCTCAGTTGTTTGCAAGATGTTTTACATCATTTAATGACATGACACTTCATCACCATATACATATTATGACATGAGATATGGCAGTATATCGGCACCGCTGTTATTCGGCCGTAGGTAATCACAGTGTGCCGATATACAGCCATATCTCACGTCTACTCGTGTGATATTGCGTTTATACAACAGTTAGATGGCACAAGTGTGTAAATACATAAGAAAAACAACAACAGAGTGTCTTTTAAAACCCTCTTTTGTGCAGAACTACTTCCTTCCACCACAGATTCAAATATCAGTTTGACAGTTTAACAGTTGAGCCCAAGCCTCTAATTCAAATCGTCACTTTAGAACTAGTAATGAAGGAACGTTGAGTTGCTTCAGTATATTGAATCACTGTATTATGTAGAGAGAAATTGACTGAGCGAGTGTGATTATCTGCATCTGATACAGCATTCATTCTTCAGCTCCATCTCATATTCACAGTAAAACATTAGTTTGAATGTCCGCTGAGGAAAGCGATATCTTTGTCGTACTGTCCTTTCATCTGTTTAGTGTGATTTCCGATGGCAGCACTGCTCAGTGCATTTGTTAACTGTCTTACAAGCTTGTTATTAATAGTAAAAATAACTTCCGCTTCAGTCTCTTTCGATACAAAAGTCTTTACTGTTGACTCATAAAACAGTCTATTGTCGCCATCTAATGGCAGAATGTCACTAAAATCACCATCACGAACATACACTGTTTCCCAATAATAAATACTACTATTACGTGTATAAAATATTATTTCTTGAATAATAAACACCATTCATCATAAAAGTTACTAGACAATTCAGTCAATAGTACAAGGGTAGCGCTCTGATATACATAATTGAAGCTATGTAATAATGTGATGAAAATTTGCCCTCAGCCCAAACTATTTGCTCTGGAACAAATAATAGAAGAATGAGACCAGCATGCCAAATATTTTGCAGGCGTCGGCAACGTGTTGGCGATTTCCTCAGATCGCGTCTTTGATAATTCACACTGCGTGATTGTCACTCGCGTGAACGAGCACCGATTTGCCTCCGATTTCGGGCATTTGTCGGCGATTTCACAAAACCTGTTGGCGAGTGAAAAATCGGGCTAATGTCGTGCAGTGTGAACTCAGCATAAGGTAGCTATCAGCTAAACAGTGATATACGCTAAACAATACTCAGCGTTGAATGGTGGTGTGAGACTGATTTATATAGTTTGTGTTATTGGTAGCAGCTGTGTGTGATTCGTTTCAGGTTAGCTTGTGATTAGTGCAATGGAGCATGGAAAATGTTGTCCAGGGTGATGTGTAACAGTCTGTGTAGTGTGAGAGTCCATGTGGAGAGCGGGTGACCTCTGGTGGTGAGTGAACGGAAGTTTATAGACCAGATTCGTGACATATCTCATATTTAACCATTATAGAGACATCAGAGCCAGCTGCAAATTCCAGAAGATCTGGTCGAGGTGAGGCCGCTGACACCCTGGAGCTCACATCTTTGAAAACGAAGCAAATTTTCAAATAGACGTTATCTTTATTAGCAAACTGCATATTTGAAGTCTAAACAAGTACATTATTGCCTAAAAACTCTTAAAACTGCATTCCGTGACACAAAAACAGTATTATTATCATTATTTATATATTTTTTTAATTATTGTGGATTTAGGCATCCATCATGACGCTGTGAGAAATATTCTGCATTCACACCATGTCGTAATTACTGTAATTTTGAGATGAGAACACGTGACATTCTGTTTGGAGCTGTTCACACCCTTGGACTCTACGGCACTATCAATGCGTAAACATAGCACCTAACGAATCTGAGGTGGTGGTCAGATGGTACAAGTTGTAGCTCTTAGAAAATTCCCAGTTCCCAAGTTGTAATTACGAGTTCTACGAGGACGTGAACGCTTTTTACAAGTTGGTATCTCGTAATCACGGTAATTACGATTTGGCGTGAACGTATACCTACACTGCAAGAGGAGTGATACAAACGGTGAAACGGTTGGAGGAGTTCTGTTATGACTCTAATATCGCACTCTTATCAGCCAATCAGATTCGAGGACCAGAAAGAACTGTTGTATATATATTATCTCCAAGTCTGTGATGCACAAGCAAGCTGAGCCAATTCTTGAATCATAGTTATTTCTAAAGTAGCAGTCTGATTCTGTTTTATGAAGGTTTTTTATTTTTTTTTTATAAGTGAACTCATTAAATGAACTTACAGTATATTTGATGTAAAATTATGCATGCTTTTTTTCCCTTGATTATGGGCACTCTCTTAAAATTTTCACAATTTCACTAGTTAATTTTGTCCACTAACACACGCACGCAAAAATAAATAAATAAATAAATAAATAAATTAATTAATTAATAAACATTGGTAATAATTTTCACACAGTAAATATTAATAACCTTTTCTTAAGATTATCATGATTTTTAATGAGTAAGAATGCATTTTACAGTGAATATTACTAGTTTGAGATTGAAAGTCTGGGTCTACAAGAATAGTAAAACAATAAAAAAAAAATTATAAATTAACTCATTAAAAAATGTTAAAAATAAGTTTAAATGTACAGCAGTTTTAATATAAATCCAAAAAGTGCCTGAAGCTGAATAAACACTTACCTGTATATGTTTGTCATTATTTTTGCCACATAAACCATTTATTATTAATTACTGTACTTGAACTGTTCTTTTTTTTCTTTTTTAATAATTGCGTAGTCTGATTTCTAGATTTTTAAATAATATGTTTGCCTGAAATAGCTTGTAGTAAGTTACTACTTTTCAAAATAGTATTCTGACAACTTTGGCAAGCTATAGTTCAGTAGGTTCCTCCTTCGTGGTCAGCTATTTCCGTATAAAGTCTAATAACACATGCATCGTGCTCCTTTCCACACTATGGGGTGTGGAAAGGAGAGGGTGCAGATGACATTTGTATTCAAGTAGCCTAAGGCAGCTCTGTGAGCCATTCAGCATTGGGAAATGTCTGCTGCTAAGCATGAGCTCACCTGCCATGTATGAGTCGTAATCCATCTTCTAAAAACATATCCAACTGTCTTTCACCCTGCTGCCCAGGAACTGGGCCGTCTGCACATTCAATTCACCTATGGCTGGCCATCAGCAGTTGATGTGGAGGAATAACAAGCTGATGAAAACCCCCAGAAACACAAACATGCAGACTGTCGCAGCAGCATTGCAGATGTTTCCTCATACATGCTAAACAAAGGGGCTGAAATCAGAATGAGCAAGAGAACTCTGAAAACCTAACTGCACATATCAGGAATGATAATTGCCCTTTAGACCAACGTTTCACCTGGAACAGACACCGAAACTGGCACTGATCAATGGCAAATCACAAGGTGACCTTATTGCATATAGTTAAGTTACTTTGATATTCTGTCGGCATTGGAAAAAGGCCCATTTTGAATTACTGATGGCATGTAAATGATGAAATGTAATCTTATTGGATCATCTCATCCATCATCATACATTTGTGTATGTACATGCAATGGTGCATTATACACAGTGGACCATTCAAAAGACTGATAACATTTGCTGTACAACAGAAGCAGGATGTTTGATTGTCTCTCCACATTCAACTAAGGTGCAAAAACCATGTAAAGTCTCCTGAACTATTAGAGTATCAGGTCATACATACTATTTGACCCTCTAACACTTTCTATTCTAATTCTACTTTATCTATATTTATTTTTTTATAAAAAAAAAAACAAACAAACACTAGCTTTCTATTCTATCTACTTGTTTTTATTTGTGTATATGTGTGTGCGTATAATATATATACACCTTGCTACATGTACTGCGTTAGGCTAACCGAGACTTGTATAAATACTTCATATAATACTTGTATACTTCAATAAATGCCCCAGAGGGTGGATTTATTCACAAGAGGGTGTGCAAAAGAGAAAAGGTCCAGGTGGGTGCTCCGGTGCCGTGAGTGCGCTCCGTCCTACTTCCCAGTGCCGTGGGTCCGTGCTGTGCTCCTGTGGGGCTGGTCAGTCACACGCTGCTGTCTGTGGGAGAAATGAGAGAGCGAGTTAATGCTCAGTCTCATGGAGAAGTGTCTCAAAGGTGGCAGGGCTTGCGTGGCTTATGTAGCTGCCGCCTGATAAGCTGCAGCTGTGACCGATCAGCCTGTGACGAGGACGAGCAGGTGATCCTCGCTTGATTCCAGGGCAACGCTGATGAAGCTTCA